CAGCAAACTTCATCTCTTGTCTCCCAATTTTGACTTATAAGGCATACGGCAAAATACATTTCTAAAGAGTTGGCCTACACAACGCCTCTTTTTGTGTGCCAGCGACTAAAAAAAGGCGTTCTGTCAGCGAACGTCTAAAAAAAAGGCGTTCTTGTTAAAACGCCTTGTTCAGGGCAAAACTGACAAAAAACGCCTTTTTTTCTGCCACCGACTGTAAAAAAAGGCGTTTTGTCAGCGAACATCTAAAAAAAGGCGTTCTTGTTAAAACGCCTTGTGTGAGGCAAAGCTGATAAAACGCCTTTTTTCGTGATTATTTGTTTATTTCTTAAAGAAAATAAACAAAATTTATGTTGTACATATGTGGATGACATTCTGATACGGGTGCGAGTTCAAACGTTGATGTACTTTGCAAAGCAGTTGAGATATTGTAAGAAAACCGAAAAACGTTGATTTCTCGAAACTGCTCTAGACAAAAAAAAGGCGTTTTGTCAGCTGACGGCAGTAGGCCTATAGACCTAAGGCCTACGTTCTACTTTTTTCAGCCCGAGGTGGATGAGGAAAGGGAGGGGAGTATGCGCCCCCCCCCCCTTTACGAGACGTGCCAGGCTAAACGAAAAACTTGAATAGCTTTGCACTATTGTTCTCAAGATGGATCTAGATATATCTAGATTCTAATGTACATCTAGCTTGATTCTAGGCCAACGGACTAGATCTAGTCATCTAGATCTAAAGTTAAAAAAATGATCGCTGTGATCCAAAGACCACTGATGACCAACTTTTCGTTTGCGCATGCGTCATATGGTGTCGCCATATTGGTCTCCTGCAAGTTCCTGTTTTGTAGAGTCGAATGAATGCAGTCTAAATTCTATTTCCTTCTTCGTTTTGTCTGTAACCCTTGGATTAAACGCTCTCCCAAGTCTTGGAAGTTTATGATGGTGACTGATAAACGTTAACTTCCATTTCAAGCCATTGTGGATGCAGGTTAGACAGTCAGAAACATCTTTTCCCTTTTTTAAATGAAGTAAGAAAGGAATGACAAGACTGAGAAGTGACACCCCCCTCCTCACTTCATCAATGGAGAGGAATGGCTATTTATATATATATAATCTAGAGATATCTAGATTCTAGATCTAGATCTAGATACTAGATCTAGAATCTACATCTAAATCTAGATTCTAGATCCAGATTTCTAGTTCCAATTCTAAGTCAAAGTGCACTAGAATCTACAGGGTAACAGTGACATGGTTAGTCCCAAGTCCCAGTTCCCTAATAATTAAAGATGCATGCCCGGTGATTTTGTAGTTTCGTTGGTTAAAGTCAAGAGAAGGGGGGTTTCAGGGGGGCTTGCCCCCCTGACCTAATAAAAATATGGAGGTGAATAGAAAAACGATCTACCTCTCACCCCGGGTGAGACTTGCCAGCGTAGGCTATTCTCACCCGGTGCGAAACAAGACCTGCTTTTCCTCATTTTGGAATACTGTCTATCGGTGTGGATGATCAAATTGATAAAAGAAAGTGGCTATTCTCACCCGCCCGGAAGTTCTCGCAAGATCAACTCCTCCCCTCTTCTCTCTCTCTCCGTCTCTTTCTGAATACTGTCTATCGGTGTGGACGATCAAATTGACCAAAACAAAGTTAAAAAATGATGTTAAAACAACAAAAGTAAATTAATTTGGTTGTCTACAAAGATGCTACGGCTATTTAACTTTTCGAATTGAGCCGAACTACGCAGGTCGCCATTTTGTTTTGCCCGGAAATTCTCGCGCTACTCCTCTCTCTCTTTCTCTCTCTCCACTGCCCACAGACAAAATTGTACGCTTTTAGTAGGCTACAGTTGAAATGGAACGTTTGTTCACGGCACAGAATTCTACAATTTTTCTGTTATCACAGTGTAGAATTCTGTGGTTTAGGGTGAACGCAAAATTTGGTGAACGCGCACCGGGTGAGAATAGCCACAAGACTCGCATGCACTATTCTCACTCCGGGTGAGAATAGAGGTGGCCTTGATAAAAAGCCAAGAAAAAATTAAGTTATAGCACAAAAGTAAGCTAATTTGATCGTCTTCAAAGATGCTATGGCTATTTCACTGTTCGAATCGAGCCGAACTACGCGGGTCGCCATTTTGTTTTGCCCGGAAGTTCTCCTAAGATCTACTCCCCCCCCCCCTCTCTCTCTCTGTCTCTTTCTGAATACTGTCTATCGGTGTGGACGATCAAATTGACCAAAACAAAGTTAAAAAATGATGTTAAAACACAAAAGTAAATTAATTTGGTTGTCTACAATGATGCTACGGCTATTTAACTTTTCGAATCGAGCCGAACAACGCGGGTCGCCATTTTGTTTTGACCGGAAGTTCTCGCGCTACTCCTCTCTCTCTCTCTTTCTCTTTCTCTCCACTGCCCACAGTCACAGACAAAATTGTACGCTTTTAGTAGGCTACAGTTGTAATGGAACGTTTGTTCAAGGCACAGAATTCTACAATTTTTCTGTTATCACAGTGTAGAATTCTGTGGTTTAGAGGGTGAACGCTAGATCTAGGCTATAACGGTGTATGCGCACCGGGTGAGAATAGCCAAAAGATTCGCTTGCACTATTCTCACTCGGGGTGAGAATAGAGGTGGCCATCTAGATTAGATCTAGATCTATTATGTTTCTTTGTTTTTACACAAAACCATGAGTATGAGTGGAAATCTTTGAAGTCTAAACAAACAATTATAGGAAAAAAGTTGTTGGTCAGTCAGGGGAGGAGACAGAAGAAGAAGAAAAACAAAAAACAAAAAAAAACCTTCCAGGACCGGGATTCGAACCCACACTCATAATACAATACTTCAAACGCAGACACGCTGTCATTTCGGCCATCAGAACTATCAACAGAAGGAGGTAGATTTTTAAGCTTTAAATATTTTGGTATTTTTCTACTTTCCCTCCCGTCTCACACTCAGCTACCAGTTGTCTATTTTCTACTAAATATTGATGCGCTGAACACGAATATCAACTTCATTTCCGTCGCAAATTAATAGTTTTTGAAATATTTGATTGTTTAGTTTTTAACCGAGATAGAATGCTTTGGACCAATCGGGGGGTTCCAGGGGGGCTTGCCCCTCTGGAGTAAAAGAAAATCTGGGGGGGTTACAGGGGGGCATGCCCCCCTGTTTTTACCCATAATTTGATATTTTACAGTTAGATTTGAAATTGTCTTGAAAATAATTGATTTGCGACAGTTTTAGTGGCTTTATGTGTGATCTGCAGCAAACAGTACAGCTGTTTGACCCCTGAAACAGTGCATCTGTGTGCGGGAGTGAAAGTAAAAGTTTACCAATATTTTTACAGCACGATTTCAACGCAACACACATTTCTAGATTCTATCTGTCTAGAGTCTAGATCTAGATTCTAGACTTAGTTTTTTTTTACATGAGGCATGAGGGGAACACCATCAATGAGGCGGCTGGCATCAGATGACAGATCGGCAGATGAGGTCAGACTCACTACTGACGAAAAATTAAAAAATTTCAGCTGGTGGAATATTGGAAACACTGATCTAGAATCTCTAGATCTAGATCTAGGTCTAGATCTAGATTTTTAGATCTACTAAGACAGAACATGTAACCTAGGTAGTAGGCCTGTGGGCATGCAGGCCTACTATTGTACGGATACCTGCAGCACTTCGTACAATTGTACGTACGTTGTACGGATAACTAGACAGAGTTGTTCGCACAATTGTACGGTACAATATTATACGGATAACTAGACAGAGTTGTTCGCACAATTGTATGGATAACCACTCCGTTTGTCAATTGCCACCGAGTGAAACGGTGTCAAGTCTGAAAACAACACTATCTTTAGCATATACATAATGTGTGTCTAATGGATCAATTTGTTCTCAACTAATTTCATTGGACGAGCATCTAGTCTAGAGCTACGGTACCAACTTGGCGTGTTTTCAAAGAGACGTAGGCCTAGATCTAGGCTAGCCTTAGCCTACACTTTGGTGTAGAACCAACACAGGCAATTCTAGAAGTAGAAGGTCACAAATGCACACAGACAAACTCAAGCAGAAATTCATGTTATCGGGGAACATAAATCGGGGTATGGGGATGGGGAAAAGACACACAAACACTCACAGAGGGACAGAGAGGCGAACGCACAACACCGAGCACTTGAGCATAATAAGCTAGATCTACCCACCAACACTCCAATTTACTCGGTGGCAATTGACAAAAAGTCAATTTTTGTCAATTGCCACCACGTCACAGGTCAATTTTTGTCAATTGCCACCACGTCACTCGGTGGCAATTGACACTACCTATCTAGAAGGCTGTAGTTATACGCACAGGGTGTGTGAATACTATGAAATTTTATTCTCTCTCTCTCTTCTGGCGCTGTGGCTTCATAAGCGGTCAGCGATGCCGACAGCACGCAGGAACTCAACACTCGCCCGGGGGTCCTTAAAAAGTGCTGAAAGTGGGTTACTGAAATGTCCCAGCAGACGGGTTCTAGCACGATAGCTGGCGGGACACCTCAGGAACACATGGTCCATAGTTTCGTCCTCCTCCTTGCAGGCTCGACAGGACGGATCTGGGTTGTCTGCTGGCGCAATTTTGTGGAGATATGATCTCAGCTTGGGCGATTTTCCACCAGTTCTCATTTGAGAGAGAAGCCGGCGGTCCTGTCGTCTGAGCGAGGCCTCAAGCTGGAATGACGGCGGCTGGGCAAACGGCAGTTTGGGTTTCGCCTCTCTTTTCCACTTTGCGCGGGTCGATCGGTGGATGACGGCTTTAGCTGTCGAGAAATCGATTGGCGTGTCAATCTGGGTAAGCGCTGTTGCTTCTTTGGCGATGCTGTCAACTTCCTCATTCCCAGCCAGTCCGGCGTGGCCTGGAATCCACTGTAAGTGGATGGAACATGCAGAGCGTTGACAGAGGGTGTGCAGATGTTGCCAGATTGAGCAGGCCACCTTTTCCGATTGGTTGGTAGGGCCGTATGAGAGGCGCATGACTGCTGATCTAGAATCAGTGTATACATGGATGCGTGCACTGTTCGGAAGGCTGCCTGCTGTATGTAGTGCCACAAGCATGTCAAGCGCTGTGTCGAGAGCTACAAGCTCGGCCCCGTAGTTGGAACAATACCGGCCCGCAGGTACACGTTGGTCGAGTTCGGTATCGCCGGTCTTGATCAGTATTCCACTTCCTCCATACTCAGTACCGTGCTCAGCTGAACCGTCAGTCCAGACTTCTACATCGGGCAGGGGGAGCGAACGAATTGTAGCCTCTGCTGCTGCTTTCCTGACAGCTGGTTCATTAGCACGCTTGCAGTCGGCGACAAGATCGGTGCTAAAAGTCACGTTGTATGATGCAGCCTTCCACGGTTGTGTGGGGGGTAAAACAACCAGCTCCTCACGTGGGTACGTATCCAGTTCAGTTTCGGCTACGAGGTTCTGGGCATGCTTTCTCCAGTTCGACTTGCCTGTCCGCGTGGGCACTGATTTTGTTGCGGAGGCTTTGCGTTGGTTCGTTGTAGGCAGACGCATGGACTTCTCGAATGAGATGGCAGTCAAGGCATCAGCTCTATGCCTTAGTGGTAAAATGTCTGCTTCGATGAGGAGGCTGTCCACACGAGTATCCTTTGAGCAGCCTGTGATGATTCTTGCTGCTTCATTCTGCTTTCTTTCCAGTTTCTGCAGATTGGAGGGTTTGGCAAGAGGCATGTAGGCAGGGGCACAATAGTCGATAGCTGACCGACAAGTAGCATAATATATAGGCTTTATGCATTCCCTGGAGGCACCCCAGGTGGTGCCTGTAAGGGCTTTCAATGGTCGAAGTCTGCTTGACAGTTTTAACTCAAGGTTTTGGATGTGGGCGTTGGAGGATAGAGTACGATCAAGTGTAACCCCAAGTAAGGTGGGGTTGGAGTTGAAGGTGATGGGGGCGCCTTTGAGTGAGAGTGCTGCTTTTCGCTTGGCCTCGTGGGTGCTGGTGGTGAAGAGGGTGCACTCTGTTTTCTCCGTACTGATTTCCATCTTGTTTTGCTTTGCCCACTGCTCAAGTAAGTTTATGGCTGCTTGGACACTGTTTTCAGCCTGATTTATGTCTTCGTTGGTGGCGTATATTGTATAGTCATCAGCATAGAGTCCCATCTTCACGGTTTCAGGCAGGCCTGCTTCATGAAATCATATTCGCACAGGGTGTGTGAATACTATCATGAAGTTATATTCGCACAGGACAGGGTGTGTGAATACTATGAAGTTTTATTCGCACAGGGTGTTTCAAAAGAAGGATGGAAATCGGCCAACCATTTCCTCATTTTTTCCCCCCATCGCGCAAGGACAAAGATCATAGGGGCTGGATTGAACTTTGGTGAACCCACCGTGTTTATATCATGTATTAATGCGCACTTGGCAAATAACGGACTTATACTTATACAGTCATGGGTCCTAATCGACGGCTACGCGAACTAGTTCCCGGTGACGCGAGGCGGAGTGAGACTTGTTCCCGACGACGCGAGGCGGAGTGAGTGAGGGCTGCGAGAATACCACGGAGAGAGAGAGAGAGAAGGGGGGACGAGACAAAGTTGTAAACCGCCTTTATCTGAATCATTGAAGAGATCGAAGTCCGGAATATCTAGGCATCGGATGAGGACGTTTACTACCGCAGGAACAGGCGCAGGGTTCTCACTATTATATTAGTATTACTTGATCCGTCCGCTGTTTCTTTTTAGGGTGAGGCAGTGGAGGGAGACCAGAAGTGGAGGATTGACCAGCAGGTTTCTAATTTTCTTGATTAGATCCACATGTCGTAGGCTTATTTTTGTTCCTTTTCTTTTGAGGGAGAGGCAGCGGAGGGAGACCAGAAGTGGAGGATGGACCAGCAGGTTCCTGGTTTTCTGAATTAGTCGTAGTACGCTAATTTTTGGTGGACCGCACATTCAGCACTTAAGTTATTAGGATACTTTTTATAGATCTCGTATTCGACAGTCGGGGGGGGGGGGGGGGGGGGGAGCTGCCACATGCAAATCAATTATAATAAACAGAGAAAAGTGGACCAGGAACATTTTGTAGTTTGCTCTGCCCAAGTACTTTACTTTAGTGGACCCACATTGCCAGCCTAGGCTAGGCCTAAGAGGTACCATGAGACTAATAAGAGGCGCAGGTAAAGTTTACCAGACCAGTGAAAAGAGGGCGAGACATGGTGGAAGTATCTAGATTTGTTTCTAACGTGTACTGTAGGCTCTCTTCTCAATTAAGTTCAGACTTTTCTTCTCTTCGCTTACTTGGGCCAAGATTTGACCGTAGCCTAGATTCTAGAAGAAATGGAGAATCGGGAAGGATTTTTACCTGTCCAGTGCAGTGGTCTCCAAAATCCGTATTAGATCTAGATTTAATGTTATATTATACATGATGATAACATAGAATGACCATTCCTTTCTTTACAAAAAATTCTTCCGCTCACACCAGAATCGACTCTTAAATATCTAGATCTACCTTAGATAAAGAAAAATACTGTGTATAGTCTAGTATTTAGTAACCCATCATCATCATGCCCATGTAGATCATTGTGGGAACAATATCTAGACATCTAATTGGCCTGTCTATTCTCAGTGTCACTAGGAATAGTTTCTTGACCTCAGTGAGACAGTGGGAACAATTCTGGCCTATTCCCAGTGCTTTCCAAAATTAAAACCCTTTGCCAAAAAATAAAGGTGGGATACCTGGGTGTGACAAAGGAGGTCCAAAATCAACTTTATGTAGTAACTCTGTAGTAATACATCATATCATTTATGGCCCAACGATTGCAGTCTCCGTTTACTTTTAAGGACTGTTCACAAATGACCCCACCCCTCTTGTCATCTTTCCCAGGACACCCCCCCCCCCCCCCCCCTCAAGTTGCTGTCAACCAAAATGTACATGTGTGTACATTTAGATAGAACATGTACAGGGTGCGTTTTATATTTGCACCTTTGATTTTTTTTAAAAAATTGTTTTTATTGATTTAAAGAATACAATAATGGTGGCGCTGCCCCTGCTTGCACTGGAACTCCATCGACTGGTACACGTAAACAGCACTCAAGGGGTCTGTTTGGCCAATTTTGGTGGATCGTGTCACCACAAATTTTGTGTTATTAGTACTTTCATACTCTTTCAGAGCCTCTGTGAACTCTGAAAAGCTCTTGAACTTGGCTCCCACTGCCATGCTGAATAGATCTAGAAAAACTAGAACTAGGTGTTGAGTAATTTCAGATTTGCGATGCAATAGCCTTTGGGGCCAACAGAACGCTACTGGCAAGGTTCCCTCAAGGCTCTGTTTTGAAAAATGAAAATGCCACGCAGGTAAGCCTATTATAGGCCAAGACCGCCTAGTTTCGCGGACTCTTGCGCCATTTGCCGATCTCGCGCAGGTCGGGTCGACCCTTTGCGAATATAATTATTTCTTATTCGCACACCCGGTGCGAATAATATTAATTCTTATGCGCACACCCGGTGCGAATAACCACTACCTATTTAGAAATCTAGATCTAGATATATATCTAGATATCTTATACTAGCACATCTCTGGTGATTGGCCGAAATATAGGTAGATCTAGATCTAGATTAGATCTTAGATGAATTTCCGCCATCTATTTCAATTTTGTCGTCTTCCAGGGTTTCCCCCTAGACCAAGACGCGCTTGCCTCGCTAGATCTAGTAGAGTCTTGATATCCAGATCTAGATCTAGACTAGACCTAGTAACTTTACTGTTCACTAGATCTAGATCTAGATCTTGCCTTGTTTGGTTTTTTGTTGGTTTTTTGTTAGTATTTTTGTGTGTTATCTCTCTACAAATCTCAGCAATTCTCGTTCCATAAATAAATTAACCTTTCTCCTCAAAGGTGTACACACGCACACACACAGACATACACACACAAGTACACGCGCACACATACACACACTCTGTACACTCGCACACTCACACACAAGTGCACACACACAAACACACATGCACGCGTGCGCACACATTCCAAGCAGTCGGCAATGAAACCTAGATCTGATCTAGTGACCATCGCTTGTTAAACGACAAAGTGGGCCCGCCACGGTGAGATCTAGTCAACTGGTGAGGGAAGTCCTGGAAGACGACAAAAATAGATGGCGGAAATGCGTCATCTATATTTGGGCCTATCACAGAATGTGCTAGGTGCTCGCTGTCACAGCTTCATGTGTATTGTGATCTATTCTAGAAATATCTAGATACAAAACTAGTGGATAGCTAGAGAATGACAACTAAACGCCATTGGTAGTGCTGGGTCGTGAGCGCGAGAACAGAAATGAATCGCCACTCTTCCCTGTGGAACGTGAGTCATTTCAGTGCAACGCAGAACAGTTTCGCCTTCTGATTCATTCACTCCCCTGTCGCTGTCACTACCATAAAATTTGCTTGTTTGTAGCTGTCTAGAGGCCTAGTGCTAGGTCGCGATCAGAGTCACTTCCCTAAAATTTTCTCATTTCACATCCTTTCCAATGGGTAGTTGGCTGGTGCTCTGTTGTGGTTTACTTCTTTTTTCCTATGAAACATGTATCGTCCTTCCCTCCTCCTTTTTTATGTTTGTTACTATCTTGTAACAGCTCTAATCTTCTGGCATTCATGTTGACTTTCAGCTGCGAGCGCCGTAAAACCTTGACCGTGACCATCAATGATTTATTTAATTTATAGAGGAACCAGTCGTCCATGTCCAGGTGCTGTTTTAGCCTCTTTTTCCTGTCTGCGGATTATATATCTTTTTTTTGCCAATTTATTGGTTCCGCTTCCATGTACCCCGTATCCATGGTTCTCAACCTGGAAATCACCTATAACTCGCTGTAATTGCTCCCCCCC